ATATTTCATTATGTGTTCTTTTCTGTCTGAAGTTGATACCCATGGATGTATAAAGAGAGTTCTAACAGAGTTATTTCCGGCGGTTCGCGCAACAATCCTTGCATTCTGATTGGCAGAGACTCGAAACAAAACAATCAGCAAAGATATTTTATTGAGGAAGATGATCACATACGTGAGCAGACAGAAATGATTTTCAAAAGACCGTTTATCGGTCTCCGTACTTCAGTCCAACGCCGACTGCCATGACCAAGCGTTAAGAAATCGGGCGCCTTCAAAATCCTAAAAGTTTTGACTTTTTCCCTACCAGCCCCAAAAAAATAAAAAATAATTCAATTATTTTTTTCTTCACTCACACATCCATAAAGAATTCCAATTTTTTTTTCTTCACTCATGCATCCGTGACCCACTCAAAACGGGTCGCGACCCACCAGTTGAGAACCACTGCGTATAAAACCTACAGAGCATGTGGTGTTTGGTCAAGTCGTGGCAGTGGTATTGCGCTGAGGGAACTTTAACTTGTGGCCTCACTTTCTCTAATATCCTGCAGCCCCTGTCTGGAGTTGTTGCCCAGCTGGCTTTTCTTATTTCTCTGAATGCAAAACAACAAAATTCTCCAAAGGGTGTTGCTTTAAACTCGTTCTTGGGATATTTTGTCTTGTCTGTGAGGGTCATTGTGAGCTGTTTTATTTCTTAGAAGTTATCCAACGAGTATGATTAACAGAGAAATAAAACTAATTCAGAGAAGAGCCAGAAACGTAAAGGGAGTCAAGGATTGGGACAGCAGACAAAGAAAGGGATGACAGGAGGGAGTGAAGGTGATGTGAGGGGGAGTGAGGAAAGGGTGAGAAATGAGAGGAAGGGAGGATAGAGGAGACGTCAACAGGAAAGGAGAGGAGAGGGCAACCCCTCCTCATTCCAAGGCGAAGGGTCACTGCAGTCAGTTTTAAATAGCCTGAAACCATGATGTCACCGGTGAGAGACGCAGCGATGCTCCGTCCATTAAAACCCAATCGACCATCGGCAGGTCGGTCCAGACTCAGCGGAAGTCAGAGAGTCAGAGACGAGGATCGGCACCGCTAAGAGGTTTCTGTGTACTTCTGACGTTACAATCAGGACAGGGATCAGATCTTACCTCCCATAAGCTTTAGGTTGGGGAAACTCAAAGTATGTTTGCCATTTTAAGCTAATATAGGAGTTTAAAATCCAAGGCAGTTAGACGGCAGCTGTTTGAAATTAAGACCATTTCTAACGTGTAATGTTTTTCATACAAACAGCATTGCATAATATAACACTTCAGACAGAGGACTCTTTTCAAACTGGCAGGAAGATTGGGCAGCACAGAGTATGGACTGTGTGTGTGTGTGTGTGTGTGTGTGTGTGTGTGTGTGTGTGTGTGTGTGTGTGTGTGTGTGTGTGTGTGTGTGTGTGTGTGTGTGTGAGAGAGTGTGTGAGAGAGAGAGAGAGAGAGAGAGAGAGAGAGAGAGAGAGAGAGAGAGAGAGAGAGAGAGAGAGAGAGAGAGAGAGAGAGAGAGAGAGAGAGAGAGAGGGAGAGGGAGAGAGAGGGAGACAGAGAAAGTGCATCCAGCTCTCAGTCATTCATCTCTCGGGGAGAGGAGAGGAAACTACAGCAGGACGGGAAAATAAACATTTTTGAGCAGAAAAAAAAGGGAAGATTTCTTTCGTTAAATCTCTGACTTCAGAAGCTCCAACTGCAGTTTCCTATTCCTCATCTTCTCACATCCACAAATATCCTGCAAGAATTTCCCTGGCTCCTTCTGCTCTGCATGGAGATACTGTTCCTCTCTCTCAACCGGCAGGAAGTGTGCATGCTTTCTTCAGGATCCCTGCACCGCGAGCATCTCTTCAAACTTGAATGTCCTTACAACTCGGACAGAGAGAGTGGTTCCTTTTCCATGCAGCGTGCATAGAGGGACTGGTTGCCTTTTTCGGGAGGTGTAGGAGCAGGTACTACAGGAGGAAGTACCGGGATCAGAGCGCCCCTGGAAGAACTACGGGAAGAAGAATAAGAGGAGGAGGAGGAGGGCGCGTCACGCTGAGAAAGAGCATCGTCCCAGCCCTTCTTAAAAAGCAGCGCTACAGTAATCTTTAAAAAGTGGATTTTATATAAGTATTCTAGCAAAGTAACATAAAGTAAGAATAAGACTTGAGTGCAAGTTAACTGACATAGGCTACTGTAAGTGATTTGAAGGGATATTATAGGAGTATTTATTTGTCACTCGCGCTCACGCTCACCCAGGAGGCTCCAGCACGCCGCAGAATGGATCTCCCACCAATCAGAGGTAATCATAAATTCATCCTGTCGCCATCCGATCTGCTGATAAACTATTAATGATCTGTGTGACCTTGGGATGAAAAACTTCCATAGGGATTTTTTTTCATGAAATACGAATTATTCAAAAGGTTGGAGTAGCTTGGTAAAAATGCTGGGTATCTATCATGTTGTGCTTAATGTTTAGGCAACAGTCGTAAGATTTTCCTGCAGAAATACTTAAGACATTTTGTGTGGTAAATGTTGGTGAAGTAGGACGACAAGTATGGCTCTCTATTTGGCTCTGAATACTTGGTGGAAACCAGATGCAGGTGGACAGGATGTTCATACATTTTTGCAACAAACAAACAAACAAACAAACAAACACAAGTCATGTCCTATTTTTATGAAAGCATTGCTAAGAAATGTGGCCGCATTCACATTCAACCAGTTTTCAGAGTCTCGAGAATGGGATAAAGTTTTGGTTACTTTCTTCACTTGTCAGATCAAACTGCGATGCAAACAGACTCACAATATTTGGTAGTAGATTAAAGAGCAACGATATATTTCCCCTTTAAACAGACTGGTTTCACCTCAAAAGGGTGCATCCTGATTATCTGGTTTCCCTTCACTGTTTGATTTGTGTTAGATTAGACTGCTGGTGTTTTATAGAAAGATTTAAATCACAATCACAGGCATTTCTTTCTCTGCCCTGTTTCCACCTCTCGCCTTGTTGGGTGGGGAACTAGTCGAGGAGGGATGGGTTTCTGAGTCGTGATCATGTAAACTCTAATCTGTTTTGCCCCTGGTGGACACATTGTTCCAAGCTTTCAATTTCACATAAGTGACGGTGAATAAATCATGTAGAAACTTTAATAGTGTGAACAGTTACGTTCAGTTTGTGTTTTTCCTCTATGGAGAAAGTTAGCCGACTTTCAGCCGACTTTTTTTATCAATGAGACTGAGAGGCGTGAGAGAGTGTATCTCTGATGTTTAATATGCATATTAACCGATTGCTTGACTGCATGTTAACTGGTCTCGCTGTGTAGCAGTGTGTGTGTGTGTGTGTGTGTGTGTGTGTGTGTGTGTGTGTGTGTGTGTGTGTGTGTGTGTGTGTGTGTGTGTGTGTGTGTGTGTGGGCAGAGGCTCAGTCATTACTGATACTCCCACAGCACAAAGGTCCATCCTCAGGTTACTGACGGCCTCTTGAAACACCAGCTCTCTCTCTCAACCCTGTGACTGTTTCTCTCTCAGTCAGATCTGCTTCTCTCACATTCATTTCTACAGTTTACACGATGCAATGTTTTGGAAATTAATCACAGAAAAAGATTCCTTTAAAACCTTTACTATCTTACAAACGGTACCTCTCCCATCTCCTTTTCTCTGTCCTCTCATAATGTAACACTCAGTGGGCCGTCCGCCATGTTGGTTCAGATTTAGATCCACCTTCTTAGTTTTCGAATATGATATTAAAAATAAGTTTAGGTACTTATTATTTCCAGAAGATGAAAGGGAACTTTTGGTGATCATGGAGTAGTACATTCAGGTTTTTCAGGAAAAGGCAGTAGCTGAGGAGCTCCTGGCAAGGTCATTACGGAAAACATTTTGAGTATCCGCCCTGCGACTGTATCCCCCCACAACAGACAAACAAACCAAACTGAAAACCAAACTTCCTTTGCCGAGGTTTCAATTCCTGAATTAGTCACTTTTGTAGTCTTCACCACTTTACTGTATGATGGTACACACACATTGAACCCTGTGGAGTTTGTTTTATGAAACAAATGTCAGTCTTTCTTCCCAAAACGCATTGTTTGAAGTCCATCCTCGAGGTCTTGATCATAAAACATTTGCTGAGTAGATTTTTTAAAAGCATTGTAAACACCTATGTTCACTCTGCAGACTTCTTCTGCCCTGAGTTTGTTGGCGCATTGCAGCATATCTGTGCGTGTTACCGCCACCTGTTGATCAGCGGAATAATGTGACACCGTTGGTCGGATTGTGTTTCGCATCATGCACATCTACGTGTGACAAACAAAACAGGGACCCAATCATGGACAATCTGCTCCATAGCACCACGACAGGTTTAAAACTCCACACAGGAACATTAAACACACATGTCACACACACACACACACACACACACACACACACACACACACACACACACACACACACACACACACACACACACACACACACACACACACACCACCACACGCACGCACGCACGCACACACACACACACACACACACACACACACACACACACACACACACACACACACCTCTCATGCCAGCTGTTGTTGCCAGAGGATTGATAACAGACACTCCCCACGCTGAGCATCACTTCCCAAAACAACTGGAGCTCTCAGTGCAGCCAATCACTGCAGCCGATTCAGGTCATGTGATAATGCTTAAGTCAGGGCCACTGAGACATGTTATTTATCCCCCCTGCAATCACTTGATTTATTACTAAGTATTCGGCTGCTTTGTTTATGTTATATGTGTTTGCTTGACATTGTGGTGTAAATATTACACTGATCAAACTACTAACTTCTATACATTCATACAAATTCAATTTATTTGGATGGATGTCTGTTTCCCCTCTGCAAAATTATTATTTAAGAATGGATTTATCTGAAATTCGAAATTTTCTTTAATTAATCTATTAATCATTTAGTCTGAGAATTGTCAGATAATGACATAAAAAGTTCAGATTACAAGTTTGCGGAGCTCAAAAGAGTTTTGTTTTTATCAGAAAAGCAGTCCTCAACACCAGTCGAGGTCAGTCATTTAACTAACAGTAATACACAATGGAGAAAATAAGCAAATCAATACATTTAGCCAAGGATGTCAATGTGAAGACATGGACGCTACAAAGAAGATGTGTCATATGTTTTTGCTCAGAAATGCTGATATCAAAACTGTTTTTAGATTACTTTGACAGCTGAATGCAGCACAAATGTTAGAGTGGACCTATCATGCTATATTTGAATAACATAGTGTAGGACCATACCTATATAAGGCATATTTATACTTTTTATTTTTCAAAATACCAAACAGATCATGCATTTGATCCATTCCTCATTTCGCTCAATTCAACACTGTCTTTGCATCATGGGCTGATTCTGTGAGAACAGCACCATCTACAGGCCTGGCATATGTACTACAGCGTCTCCAGCGCTTTCCAACGGCAATGTCCGTGGCTGTCTCCTCCTGATTGGTGGAGTTGGCCCAATAGCCGTAGAGCCACTTCTGTGACGTCATAGAAGTGTTCAAATCTGGATCAGTCTGTATCAGATCCGTTGCAGCCCCTTTTTAAGAGATTTGGGTATGGAGGGAAATAGAGAGGGTTGTGTTTGCTGACTCTTGGTGAGTTCCCTGGAACACTGGGGACACATGTTCATGGGTAAAAGACGTAGAAAAGTGCTTTTTGCATGATAGGTCCCCTTTAATTTAAGAAAGTAAAACAGTTTGTGTATTTGCCCCTAAGTCAGACCCACTGAAACATTTAATGGGTTCTTTTTTTAGCCCATGCTACACGCTTTAATTATCACGAAAATCAGGCCTTTAACAAAACCTACATATCAAGGTGGAACTAGATCTTCAAAATGGATGTTTCAATGACTTGCCTTACTAGTTGCATAGTCCCAAACTTTTTGACATGACTTCCAGTATTGTTGGGAAGCACCAGCTCAACCAGTAAGTAAACATGAGGTCATGTAAATGGACGGCAGGCCTCGTCTTTTTAACAATTAGATGGACTGATAGACGGGCAGAGTATGCGCGGGCTGCAGACACCGCTCTGCCTGATGAGATTAGTCACCAGGACTTCTCCTCTCTCCTCGGACTAATTTGAAAATGCATCCTCATCTAACCAACCTGAGCCTCCTTATCTGCTCCTCTGTGGCTGGCCCTCTGGAAGGAGGGCTCCGAGAGATAAAGGGTAGAGCACCTTTGTGCCTAAACTCCCCTTGGAAAGCCTTGAGGACAGGAAGAGTTTTTGTTTTGTTTTTACAGTCCGGCTCACGAGCCACGTCTCTTTCCTCCCAGTGATGGATTGCCGTTCTTGGGTTTCATCCACGTCCCCATCCCTTCTGTTAGATCCTCTCTTATTGCTTCTGCACTGCACTTTCCTGAGGCCACTTGTTTGACCTTTTCCTACTTTCTCTATTGAACTGTTTAGCTGTACACAACAGGGCAAGAAAACAACATGATTCTTAAGCATCCTATCATTATGTTTTTAATTGTTGTTGGTTTGCATTTGTTAAATGGTTTGTTACATATACATGTACAGACATCTTTGGATATAGGATTGATGACACGTTTAGGTATTTGTTTCAGTATCTGCTCTGCTGCACATGCAAAGTACTCAGGTTGGTTACTCAATACACCTTTGCAGGACAACAAATCAAACTTAACAGGGAGCAAGGGATAACAAACTTCAGGCAAAGATATGATTGAAAAAAAACGAGTTTGTCTGGTGTCTGCAGTCTGAAGGCAAAGTAGCTAATAGCTCTTCAGAACAGCCACACATAATAAGGGGTTTCCCTCTCCTACATCATAGTGTGTTATATAGGTTTGTGTGCATGCAAATGGTCTGCAAAGGCTGAAGAACTCCATAGGACCCCCGAAAATGAGCATAATAGGGCCAATTTAAAAGACATCCACACCTGGCCGATCCGGAAAGTTGAAAACATGTTGGACACAGCTTTGATATGAGATGACCACCTTTGAACTAAACAATATAGATTTAAAAGTGTCTGGCAGGAGAAACATTAGTCTGGGCAGGAAGTCTTTGATACATTAACAGCGTATTATGAATGTATCTGTATTCAAGTGGCCTAAGATGGTTACTTGCCTCTGCTCCCTCTTACCTCCTCCTCCATCTAATCTCATGATCTGAGCTGCTTTTAATGCATTTCCATTTGGCCTCATTACTCTCCGAGAGGACGGGCACCATGTGAGGAGAAAGCCAGCTCTCTCTCTCTCTCCCCCTCGGCCACTTGGCAGGGCTGCACTGTGTGTATGTATACATGAGCCTGTATGGATGTGTGTGTGCAGGAGTGTACAATATTTTTGCATTTCACATGAGAGGAGTTTGTAATGATTTTAAATGACACACACATTATTTTTTCCAAAGCAACAGATACCAAATCGTTCTTGTCTGTATCTCCAGAGTTCTCTCTTTCATTCAGGGCTCACCTGACGTCTGAGCAGGGAATCAAATCAGCTGCCTCGTTGACTAGATGTGGACCCTTGTGGACCCTGCTTATGCACTCCTAAGCAGTTTGATTGAGCTTTCATGCATTTAGTTGCAATCCCTACCAAACATTTAAATGAGTACAACATGCACTAAAATATAATCTCACGCAGAAAGAAAATCATGTGTTTATCTATTCTTTTCATATAGGGGGACATTAAGTGAAATAGTTTACCATAACTACATTTGTTCCAACTCTGTTCTCGTTAGCCTTTGAAGAGTACCAATGCAGACACTTTAGGTTTTCGAGATGTCTTTGAGATTTCAGATTTTTTGATTTTGATTTATTCTGAAAATACAACAAAATCCATCTCATTTTTAGACAAACAAGGCAAACTTTCTAATGAGGACAGTTCACCCAAAAAGTTGATTTCTTGATTTTAAGGCAGGTTTTGGTAGCTATTGAGGAATCCATGTTTTTATGTCCTGTATTGTCTTCAACATGAAACCATGGCTGCTGATTTATTTTAACCAAAGACAAAAGTGCACTTTGTAAAGCTGCTGTTATCTTGAATGAAGCACCTTCTCAATGTTTTTTTTTGCTCTATGGCGTTGATACATAAAGACCTCTCAGGAAATCTGAACTCGTTCGAACACATCTGTTGATTTATGAGGATTTGGTTTGGACCTAATCCTGTGACTTTACAGTTCCTCTGGTCTTTCTGAGGCTCTCTGTGTGCAGGTGGGTTTCCTCCATGGCAGCAGCAGCTGTGTTCAACAGATGCTAAATTACAGTGTGGACCTCATGGTCGTATCTCTCTGGTTCTGGCAGGCTAATAATAGCGTTTTTCTGAGCAGCGGAGAACCTCAGTGTGCCTGTAGCTGGTGGTTGTGTGGAAGCTGTGCTGCCAAAAGACATCTTTATTCATGTGCTGCTGATTTTTGGAAAGTAATAGGTTGGCCATTTGTGGTGTTTGGACTACAACATTTAAAGGGTTGAACCTCTATGTGTTCAGTGTTCCTGTTTGGTGTATGGCTGTAACTAATACTTTTCTCTATTAATGGATTGTTTGGTCTTGGAAATGTCAGAAAATTGTGAAAATAACTGATTCCAAAAGCCCCAATTATATATATTTATTTTTTTCTAGTTAAAAACATAAATTCACATGCATCAGCTGTTTAAAGCTGGAAAATGTCACATGGAAAACAGTTCTCGAAATTGGTTCCTGCATCAAGTAATGTGTAGAGGGAATAGATGCCTAATGAACACACCTGTATATGAAAAGGTTCTGATTTAAAGGTAAATACAAAATCCCTAACACGCTTCCCTTTGCTGTTTGTCTGCAGGTTTATCTGATGTGCCGTGAGTGTTGGGAGCAGCGTGCCCCAGCCCCCCTGCAGGATGGACCCCCCCCACTCCTTCAGGATGGAGCTGGACAGCATGGACCTCCAGCAGGTTCTGTCCCTCGACCAGATACGTGCCATAAGGGCCAACAATGACTATGTGGAGAGGCCCGTGGCGCTGGAACCGGCAACCGGGTCTGGCTTTTTCTATGCCCATGAAGAACGCTACACTCATGGAGTTTACCCCCACTACCCCCAGCCTTCCTTCAACCAGGCCCTGCCCCGCAGCCAAAGTCAGCAGCAGCACGCTCACTTAGCCCACTTAAGTCGTTCCAGTACCATAAGCTCTTCCATGTCTCGGACCAGTGCCAACTCAGACCAGCGGCTCCTGGCAGGTTTGACACCGTCTCACTCTGGCCTCGCTTCGGTGGTCCGATCTCAGCCCAAAGGAGAACTCAAAGCCGATGTTTCCTTCGGTAAAGGCCTGACGGAGGACGAGGCTGAGCTGGGCCTTCACTTGTTCATCTGTGAGCGGTGCGGTCGCTGTAAGTGCAGAGAGTGCTGCGCGCCCCGCCGCCTGCCCTCCTGTTGGGCCTGCGGGCAGCGCTGCCTGTGCTCGGCTGAAAGCGCGGTGGAGTACGGGACCTGCCTGTGCTGCGTTAAAGGCCTCTTCTACCACTGCTCCGCCCAGGACGACGAGGATAACTGCGCCGACCGGCCTTGCTCCTGCGCTCCAGCTCACGCTTGTTCCCGCTGGAGCACCATGGGGCTGTTAGCGCTATGCCTGCCCTGCCTCTGCTGCTACCCCCCTGCCCGGCTGTGCCTTGCCCTGTGCCAGTGTGCCCATGACCGCAGCACCCGCCCCGGCTGTAGGTGCAGCAACACCAACACCGTGTGCCGCAAGATCTCCGCCTCTAACCCTAACCCCGGTCCCCCCTCGCTCCGCAGCAAGGCCCTAGAAAAGCCGTTATGACAGGCCTGGATGGGGGCCTTGTAAATCCATTTCCCCAAGCCGTCGCCAAAGCAACGCTGTCGCCAATCAACAATGCCACAGCTGACATTGTGACGACAATGCCATCGTGACCCACCTACCTACATACGGCAAGCCAACCAACCAACTAACCAATCAACTAACCGCAAAGTCTTCACCTAATGTACCTTGATTTACTTCATCTCCAGCTCAGGAGGGACCAAAGCTTTACTGTGCCTGTTCATGTTGGAGACGTCAAGCCTAAAAACAAAAAAACCCGAAGAAGAGATAGGTGTTGGGCTTTGCTGGACAGCCCTTCAGCCTTAACCAAGACTTCCTGACAGAAATCTCCACATTCTGTGGTTTAATCGGGACATTAAAATCTATTTATTTATTGTTGAACCTCCTTCCTCCCCACCCTCTGCAAAGAGAGCGCGCAGAGGCAGGCAATGGACCAAATCAGGAAGGAAAGAGGCCTGCGGCGACGTGTATGGTCAATGCCAACAGAGTTTCTGTCCTCTAGAAAAGAGAGTCAGAAGAAGCATGGGAGATTGAGGACTTTGAACACAATGACTGTCAGAAAACTCCACAAAAGGTTGAATCAATAAATGTTGTGCCGCAGTGCATATCTTACTGGGACTCTTAGCAAAGCACCGAGGCATAAAGTGAGAACAAAGACACTTGTAACAACAGTTAGACACCAAAAAGGGACCATGCACTGTACGAACTGAGAGTATTTCAATGCTATTAAGCTTATTTGTAAAGGAAAAGCACTGTGAGGTAGATGGACAATGTTTACCCCGGCAGCCAAGAGCTGAAAGGGGATTATTTAACCGGAGGGAGGGTGCATTCATTGTCACTAGGCAGCGCGAGTGTGTGTGTGTTTGAGTGTGTGTCCTCCTACAGTACAACAGCCTGTGTATGTAGAAGCTGTGTGTATGTCAGCAGAAGAAGCCTCCCTTGTCTTATTTTTAGCAGCGCTGCTTCAGTGGAGCTCTGAGGGTCTGGTCGGGTTTCTGCACAAAGTCAGTCTGTCGCCAACCTCCCTCCTCTGACCGACCTCCGTCACTGCCCCCCCCGCCCCCCATCCCTCTCTCCTCCATTTAATCCACTTTCCTCCCATCCTAGAACCAAATCCTCTTTTCTGAGAACCATCTGTGTCTTGTTGTAGTTCAGGCCGTCAGTTACCTTAATCCAGAATGATCTCACGGTGGGAAACCGATTCACAACGACACAACACCAATCCCGCCATCATGGACATTCAGTAAATCATTTCCAATGCAAGAGTAATGTTTGCAAAGGGAAAACTTTATTTGTACTCAGACTAAACCAATGTTCCGTTTCCAGAGGATTCTTTTAAACTCTCAACTAAAGGTGTTCTCAGGATTGCCAAGATTTAAATTCAGGGGCCATATTCAGAACACTTCTCTAAAGAACAGTGTGTAGGATTTAGTGGCATCTCGAGAGGTTGCCGGTTGCAACAAACAGAATACCCTATATATTAACCTTTTAAATGAGTGTGGGAGAACTACGGTTGCCTTCAGGAAATGTAAAACCAAGTATAGATTTTTCGTTCTGAGCTACTGAAGAAACATGGCGGCCGACCCAGACCACATGAAGACATAAAGGGCTCATTTTAAGCTAACTGCAACACTTTGTTTCTTAGTTTCAGGAAATCAATGTTGAATTTTTGCCAAACGATCCAGATAAAAGGCTGAGTTAGGAGTAAAAAAGTGTGCTTAAGTAAGATTAGCTTAGCTTTACAAACTAGCGTGTAAAAGTGTTGGGTGTTCTAAGACTTCTAAGCCACTAAGACCTAAAATCCGTTGCTCCAACTAATATGCCGATCGGAGAAATAACATGATAAGGAGCTTTTAAAACGCTACAACATAAAAATAAATACAATTACAACCTATCCCAACCAGCTATAGCCAGCTGATAAGAGGCGTATTTCCCCCACACACCCTCACATCCCTCCTGCCTCGTCCGTCTCTCCTCTTACGCTCTGAGGGCTAAAAGCCTCCAGTTCCTGGTCCACGGAGAGTTGATCAAACAGGCAATTAGCTTCATGATAGCTCTTAATGGGCCGGAGAAGAATGGAGCGTGGGAGGGGAGTGAAGTGAGGGGACAGGATGAGTGGAGTTGTGGTGTTTGGCAGATGGACAGCTGATGGGGAGAGAGGGAGGCTGGCAGGAAGGAGAAAGAGGTCGGGTAAAGGGAAGGAAAAGAGGATGCTGACGTCTCCAGTAAGACAGACGGAGGCCATGCATGCTCGGTAAAAATGATATTTTTTAGGTTGAAATTGTCGCTTCTTCTTCAGCACTTCAGGTACACAGTTTAAATGTAATGTAAAGTGTAAATGCGACATCAGTGCATGGCTCTTCTAGGAAGGACAAGCTGATAAAAACAACACACAGTGGCAGGTGTATGCGTGTGTGTGCATATACATGTTTTTAAGCGTGTGTGTGAGTTTGGATGTATATGGGCTTTTCTTTGTGTGTGTGTGTGTGTGTGTGTGTGTGTGTGTGTGTGTGTGTGTGTGTGTGTGTGTGTGTGTGTGTGAGAGTGTGTGTGTGTGTGTTAGTCAGGGTGTGTCACCTATGCAGAGAACAACCCGATTTGTTAAATGTTACTTTGCTATATTTTTATATGTAAATATGGGCTATTAACTGTATAACTATTTTTATTCTGCTATATTTTGTTTCTATGAGATTGATATTATTATGGCTGTTTTTTCCATTTTATTGAAGATTTACTTATTTACTTTCCACTCGTGATCAATTCATGGACTTTATGGGTGACCCTGACAGCAAACAAAAACTATAGCATCATTTTATTCCCACATACCACATAGTAGAGCTCAGTATAATGGCTTGGTTTTAACCTATTTGAAACAAAAGCTCTGATCTCTGTTCCTTTTCCTGGCCAACAAAACACTATGGCCACCTAAATTATAAAAATTCTCAAAAATGACGATTTCTCATTGGTCTAACATCATAAGAAATAAGCATGACTTCATTAACAGAGGTAAGTTCATGAGAACTAAAGAGTCCTCATGAACTAAGTTCTGATGAACCTTCGTGGGGAAAGTACTGCGGTGTAAAAGCGCCTGTTTGTATTACTATTTTTTCAAATTATTGGCAAACCAAACATCTTGATCGATGACACCAGGTTGGCATTACGTCCACATTAATGCTGATTTGAAAACTGTTTTCTCCCATTTTCGAAACTGCAGATTTCAGCTCGTCATGGGAGCCATTTTTTTTATATATTTCAACAGCGATTTCTCACCTGCATGTTTTATGAATGACACTCCGAAAGCAGCCATGTTGGTAACAAACACTTCTTTATTTTTGTGGTGCTTGGGAACAAAAACGTGAACAGAACACTTTGAATATTATGTTTTTTTCTAATGTCATGGCCGCACGCACACACACACACACACACACACACACACACACACACACACACACACACACACACACACACACACACACACACACACACACATGGGGTGGGATGACTTCGGATCTTGGTGCTTGGGAGACAACTAGAGGAACTTTTCTTTCTACCCGGATTGTTTTCTGTCTGAACTGGATGTGTTTACAGAGGAAACTTCACCTTTTTTTAACAAACAATGTTTCGTCTGTGTTCAAAAATATTTACCGTGACAATTATCCAATCATAACCTCTTTATAAAGACATGTTTTGAATGTGCTATGGATACACACAGTGTGGCGCAAGCAGTGCATTGTGGGGTACAAGATACCCTCAAACTATTCAGATTTTAAATTGGAAGATTTGATCAAGAGTTAATTTTTAAGTTGTTTTCTACTGTATTTTATCTGAATTGCGTGTCTTCAGATATGAACATTTCTAAAAGAAGAGGCGGCATAGATTGCAATTAATACATTTCAAAACGCAGTGTTTATCATCAGCACCTGATTTAAAACATTAGAAAAGGTCCTGATGAGACTGTTAGTGAGGTAGGTTATGGCAGATGAAAGTTGCATGTGGCATCAAGGAATTAAACAAAATAATGGATTTAAAAAAAAAAAGAAGGCCAGCTGTTGCAACTATTACAAGGAATGAGACTTTTTATTTAATTTCTCAAAAGCAAAACACATTTCTTTCATGGCTGTTATTACCCAGGGTGCAACTTGCACACCTCATTTCTGCTGACTATGGGTGCATCTCACTTCGGTTAAATGGATTCCTTGCGTCCCTCACTTGCCTCGTTTCCCTGCAACTAGTCCCTCCCACCAGGGAAGCATGGAGGGACGCAAGGAAACCACGAGAAGCAGGGAAATGAGTTTTAAGAGCAATGTGATGACGCCTCACAGCTGATCGTCTGACAGCAGCCAGATCAGTGCATGCGCTGCATCGTCCAATCAGTGAGCGATACACAGTAAGGGGGCGGGGCGAGTGTCTGAGGATTTCACCGGAGGATGGTCTGGTATTTCCTCGATTATCGCTCCTCGGTCCTCCGGCAAAAATAAGGCCACTGGGACGCTACTCAAGATGGCGCAGACAAATCAACTTCCGGTGATACCGAGCCCGAGAAGCGAGGAAATAAAAAATAACCAAAGTGAGACGCACCCTATGCCGTGTGTATCCATAAGTACGAATATAGATATTTTATTTCCCAGATCTCCTAAATATTTCCAAACGTTTCTGATATTCCTTCCTCTGAACCGGAGCTCACGTGGGGAAGCTGTCTGACGCTGTACGTACGCAGGCTCAACTTCTCCTCTCGTGTCTTAGCAAGCATCGCTTTTGGTACAAATTGGCATCTTGTATGTTGTAAAAGAATTTAAGGAGAGTATATGGAACAAATATATATAGAAATCTATCTAAAATGAATATATTATATATGGAACAATATGCATTTCACACTTTCTGTTTCATTGCTGATAACTGCTTCATGGGTATTTATTTCAATGGTTGCAACAATAGCAGTAACAATAATCACAAGGATGAATTTGGTGAATGAAGTATTTATTTCCAGTGGTCAGAGGAGATGAAGTGTGTGTCTTTTGATTTAGTTGATTTGTTCCTCTCTGTGTGGTGTGGCTGCTGCTATCCTCCTGGCTAAAGATGAACCAATAAAAAGGAGTTTCCAAACAGAAAACAATGTGTGCGTTGACTGATTTGATATGCACTCAATCCATACAATCACTATTTGTGTCATGCATTCATATACAGATGTAGCACTCCAGATAGGACTCCACCCAGCGGATTCCAACCAAAAACCAAGCGTTTACCAGTGGCTGGGAGATTAAAGCCCTCCCACTATTTCCTGAGAGGGCGTTGCCAAATTTCCCCATTTGTTCAATTGTAAGTGAAAGACATTTAGTTGTTTTTTAGGTTGTGAAGAATACAATTTATGCATCAGTTAATAATAAGAAGTTACCCATTACTTTTGTTTCCCAGTCTACCTCCAAAGCTTCAACATCAACAAATCTTCTGCTTGTTATTTAGAATATAAGGGGTCAAACACCAGGGTAACCAATGGGTAAAACAGTCATTTTATTACATCAGAGGCCTAACTTGCATGGGTCTTTAGACAAGGAAACATAGACAACAACAACTTGCTCAAGAAACGTTTTCCTTGAAAAATATTTCCTGGGAGTAAAAAGTGAGCAAAGGTAGTGCATACTGCCAAAAACCGTCTCTCAGTTTGCATAGCTAGCAAACAGAGAGGGAAAAGCATAGGAAGTTGTCACAAGACTCCAAAATGGCACTCAATAATCAAAGTGAAAATGTATGTCTGGGGCGCTTACAAAAAAAGGGGCGAGTTTTCTTGCAATTAATTCACAACATATTTGTATCTAACTGTTATTTTGGTCATTTTACGTTTACAGAGAATCACAAGCGAATATCGCAGCAAGTTGAATTTTTCTTGGCTTTCAGAAACACAGAGGCTCTGTAGTCCAAAAATAACTTGTTAACACCTAGACCAAGGCTGCCCATACCAGACCCACCCATTTTATTACTTTTTACATTAAAAGCCATATTGCACAACTGTTTACACAGTGTATTTTCTTTATCAAATATTTTCATATTGTTAATCCATTCTGCTTCAGCCTTAAGACTGTGTCATATTATGTATTCAATATCAGTCACCCAACAATGTGTTAGCACCATGACAACCTTCCATCTCACAACTACTTCACTAGGCTAATACAATCTAGACCAAAATATAAGATCTCCACATAGTCTCCCATAGATCCCCAGTAATTAAGCCTTTTTTGTGGATGTAACTCAATTGTTTTTTTTTGCTGACATTGTAAGAACAGATGACATCAAGTGTAGTTGATCTGGGGGAAGTCAAACAACAGTTTTATAGATGAGGCCCCCTGGTACTCCACTCCCCTCACTTTACTCTGTTGGGCCCATAAATAAGTAATCAAGGCTGGGTCACACTAATGGCTTCCCAGAGCAGTGGATACAGATGTGTGAGTGTGTGTGTTAGTGAGTGTGTTTATGTGTGATTGTGCACACGAGAGAAAAGAGACGAGGAGAGAGAGTATTAGAGGGAGATAAGCAAGACGTAAGTGTGTGTGTGTTTGTGTGCACGTGCAGAATTGAAGAAAAAAAAAAAGCACAACCTTTCTGTTCATCATCTCAAATCAAAGTGCATTAAAGCAGAGCTCTTAGTATCTTCCTCCCTCACACCTCCCTCTGGGAATCCATCAACACACACACACACACACACACACACACACACACACACACACACACACACACACACACACACACACACACACACACACACACACACACACACGTCATGCTGATGTCCTATATGTACTCTGTGTACTTAAAAGAGCAAATCAAAAGTGCACACATACTTGAAATGAACACACACTTTCTCTGTCATTTGTGACACTAAAACACTCAGTAGGCTGCGTGTGTGTGTGTGTGTGTGTGTGTGTGTGTGTGTGTGTGTGTGTGTGTGTGTGTGTGTGTGTGTGTGTGTGTGTGTGTGTGTGTGTGTGTGTGTGTGTGTGTTAAAGCTCTGTAGTTACCTGCTGCAGGTAAACCTCTGTCCTCCCTGACAGCTCTAGTGAAAAGGGTACATGCACGGTGACCTAAAAGCTATTTAATGATTTGTTCTGTTTGATACTTTTAGTCTGTAACTCCAGCTGTAAAACATATTCGGATCCATTGAATCCACATATTCAATTTTTGCACTTAATCTGGGATTGGTGTATTAACTTAGTGTATTTGGATTTCATACATACAGGATGCTACACAAGTCTTGTTTCCATTCACATATTTCTAAAAGTATTTCATAGGAAATGTTACGAAATATTGTGTTTGGTAATAATGTATTGATTCTCAAAAGCACTGTATTGAATTTTACTTAAAATATATTTACAGTCTGCATTACACAACATACATTTTTTGTATTCTATTCAATTTGTTTACCTAAAGAATATTTGGTCTTCACAAATCAACCCAA